CCCCGCAATCCTCCGGGTTTCCTAGTGAGTTTTCCGTCACCGGGAAACCCAAGCACTTTCCGAATATTCATGCTGTGAATCCGCAATTTCCCCTCTCTGGACAGCCATTCAAATCCATTAACACCTTAGAGAGCAACAGATTTTCAGGGGAGGAGCTTTTGAGAGTCAAAGAGCTCCCTCTTGTCAGACGCCTACAAATCTTAGTAGCAGCCCAGCTTTGGGAAGGTGAGAGGCAGGGGTGTTTTTTTTGCTCCACTGCCCCTTCTCCCTCTCTGGTGCTTGGGGTGTTTGGGATGCAAAGTGCTGTACGAACACACAGCGTTAGTAGACTGAGCTGTCCCGGGCAGTGTTCCCTCTAAGCTGAGTTAGTGTGAGCTAGCTCACAGTCCTTTAGCCTCCGGCGCACACCTTTTTTTGGTCTCCGCTCAGGAAGGGATGGCTCCAGAGCAAACAAATTTATGCAGCAGCCAAATCGCTCGCTCCCAGCTTTAATGCCAGTAGCTCACAAAGCAGACGTATTGCTCACAAGACTCCACAGCTTAGAGGGAGCATTGGTCCCGGGGTGTCTCTTGGAACAGTGGTGGGAGACAGGTTCAGATCACCACTCGGGACTGAGGTTTAGCAGGAAGGATTGAAGGTCTCCCATTTGCCATCTAAACTGGGGGGGCTGTGTGAAACGGGGCATTGATGGTGGCCGTAGCTGTGGGGTGACCGGGACAGCTGCCCTGGCCTGCACACTGTCGGGGGGGGGGCTGCACTGGGGACTGCCCCCTCCTCTGCTGCAATAGCCACTCAAGAGTGAGGGGTGGGGTGGGGCGGAGGGCCGGCTGCTATGCAGGTGCGCCAGGGGTCATTGGGTAGAAAAAGAGGTGCAGGAGCTCATTAGCATGACTCATTAGCATAACTTATTTGCGTATGCCACACCCTCTGACACCACCGGAAGTGTGTCAGAAGGCACCACCCACCGCTCAGGCTCCACTGGACTGTTTTGGATTGCCAGCTATTGGAGGGGGGGGATGTGCAGATCTGTCCTCGCAGAGGAGGGAGAGCTTGTACCTGAAGGCGGGCCGGTGTGGGGCTCTGCAACTTACCTGGCTGCTTCTTGCTCCTCGTGGCCCAACTGAGGGCTGCTGGGAGCAGGGGGTGGGGCTTGTTGCATGTGCCCACCCCCTGGGCTCCTTACTGCCGGAGCTCTGCTCCTGTGCGCTCCCACAGGAAATGACCCCTGCAGGTGCCCTGCCGTGGCATCTGGCAACTGAATTGAGGCGAAGGGCCATCAAAGTCAGTATTGTCTACTCAAGACTGGCAGCAGCTCTCCAGGGTCCCAGACAGAAGTCTTTCACTTCACCTCCTGCCTGATTCTTTTCAACTGGAGATGCCGGGGGAATAGGTTTGAGCCTGGGGCTTTCTGCATGCCAAGCAGAGGCTGTGCTACGGGGCCATGGAGAGGGAAGGAGCCATAGCTCAGTGACTGAGTATCTGCTTGGCACGTAGAAGGTCCCAGGTTCAATCCCAGTATCTCCGGCTTAAAGGACCAGGCAGGAGGTGATGTGCAGGACCTCTGCCTGAGTCCCTGAGGCAACTGACAGAGGAGGTGGTGGTCGGCTCCGTCTAGGAGCTTCTCCCATGATTCATTTCATTTGTTAGGTTTCTATACCACCCTCCCTGCACACGGGCTCAGGGTGGTGCAGAACAAAGTCCATAAAAATACATATAAATGCAGTCTAAAATCCCAATCTGGAAAACCAAACATCTGCATGGAACCATAATATGAATTCCTGACCCCCTCAATTTACATCAGCGTGGGGGAAAGGGAGCGAAAAGCAGGTAAACGCCAGCTAGATGTTAAAACCGCTAAAAACCGCCAGACACCCTTAAAAACCCATCGCTGTCCTTAACCGTATGCTTGGCAGAACAGCTCTGCTTTGCAAGCCCTGCGGAGTTGCAACAGATCTCACAGGACCTCGGCATTAAGCAGGCAGAGAGTCCCAACAAGTCGGAGCCAGTGTTCCCTCTAAGCTAAGTTAGTGCGAGCTAGCTCACAGCTTTTTAGCCCCCGGGCTCAAACATTTCTGTCTTAGCTCAGGAAGGACGGCTCCAGAGCAAACTAATTTATGCAGAAGCCCAGGGGTCATTCCCTGCAGGAGTGCACAGGAGCGGAGCTCCTGCAGTAAAGAGCCCAGGGGGCGGGCACATGCAACAAGCCCCGCCCCCTGCTCCCAGCAGCCCTCAGTCAGAGCAAGAAGCAGCCAGGTAAGTTGCAGAGCCCCACACCGGCCCGCCTTCAGGTACAAGCTCTCCCTCCTCTGCGAGGACAGATCTGCACGTTCCCCCCCCCCAACAGCTAGCAATCCAAAACAGTCCAGTGGAGCCTGAGCGGTGGGTGTTGCCTTCTGACACACTTCCGGTGAGGTCAGGGGGTGTGGCATATGCAAATGAGTTATGCTAATGAGTTATGCTAATGAGCTCCTGCACCTCTTTTTCTACGAAATGACCCCTGCAGGAGCCAAATCGCTCACTCACAACTTTAATGCCAGAAGAAGAAGAAGAAGAGATTGGATTTATACCCCACCCTTCACTTCCAAAAGGTGTCTCAGAGCGGCTCACAAACTCCTTTCCCTCCCCCTCCCCACAACAGACAACCTGTGAAGTAGGTGGGGCTGAGAGAGCTCTGACAGGAACTGCTCTTTTTCAAGGACAGCTCTTGCCAGAACTATGGCTTGCCCAAGGTCATCCAGCCAGGTACAAGTGGAGGAGTGGGGGATCAAACCCGGTTCTCCCAGATGAGAGTCCGCGCACTTAACCACAACACCACACTGGCTCTCACCAGGAACTCACAAAGGAACTCACAAAGACTCCACAGCTTAGAGGGAATGGCCCCTGTCTCTGACTGAGGACAGCCAGACGCTCTTTGGGCCAGGGGCTTACAGTGGGTGTTGGTCTCCTGAGCGTAATGCTTTTCCGGGGGCATACCAGGGGAGGCGGTCCTGTAGGCACATTTTTCAAAAGTCCCCAATCCGACCCCATTTTTAGCACAACGCATGCCTGTGATATATGGACATGCCCACCTCTGCAGCACTGTTGGGCCTACCTACAGTCCCTCTTCCTCCAAAAGCAAAGCACGAGTAGATTATGTAGCTCGAAAAGTGAAACCGAATTCGGTATTAAACGCCTGGCGCGTATGCAGGATTTCCCTTTGCTTAGCCTCCTAGGGTTGCCAGGTTTGGGTTGTAAAATACCTGGAGACTTTGGGGGTGGAGCTAGGAGAGGGCGGGGTTTGGGGAGGGTCCTCAGCAGGGGACAGTGCCATGGAGCCCGTCCTTCAAAGCAGCCATTTTCTCCAGGGGAGCCGATCTCTTCTCAGCTGGAGATCAACTGTAAAAGCAGGAGATCCCCAGGCCCCACCTGGAGGTTGGCAACCCTACAGTGTCTCCATGCCTGTCCGTCCTGCCGAGTGTTTCGCCGCACGGCCCGCTCTTTCCCGTGTAAACTGGCCATGTCGTTTCGAGGATGCACAAAAGGTGACGTTCCTCTCGCACGGCACAGGGGCTTCAAGCCCGAAGACGGACCCGCCGTTTCTGTGATGAAACCTGCCGTACTAGGAAGAGGCAGGTCCTGCCCACGGTGAGCCCCTGTCGAAGAGAGGCCTCTCCGCGCAGAACCTCTTTCGAAAGGGCAGAGCGTGGCTTCCTCCACCCTCCACCCGCTGAAAGCAGCAGTCCCGGGCTCCAGAGGGGACCCCCGTGCATGTGGCAGATTCATTTCCCGGCAGGAGGCGTGTGCGAGGGCCGCTGACCCTTCCCGCCCACCTGACCTCCTTCCTTTGTCAAGGAGGGCGGACTCGTTTGGAGGGGCTGCCAGGGGCCCGAGAGCGCCAGATGGCACGGGGTGTGTGCCTACCCTCATTCAGGCAGATTAATGTGGAGTTTGTAAAACAGGGGGAAGGGGGGGGGAGGACAAACAATTAAGCGAGGACCCCCAAAACAAAGGCCTGCCACGTGCCGCTGGCCAACAGTCGTTAGCGGCACAATGGCTTTATCGGCTTACAATGCCCAGGGCCAACTGTTGCCAACCAGCAGGGCCGACCCTGGTTTTCAAACCATTTGACACCCCTGTTTACTTACGGTCTGGCCAATGGGGGCGCAGGAAGAGGGGTCAGCTGATGTTCTTTTTCTTCCAGCGCAGCCTGCGACTGTAACCGAAGAGTTGTAGCCATGGCAATGTCAATTATGGTACCCAAAACACACGAAGAGAAACCAAGTGGGGCCCAAGCGGGGTGTGGGATGTTGCTAAAGGGCCAAATCTCCGGCTTCCACATGCTTGCTTGCAGTGCTCGAAGCCCTAGAAAGGAAGAGGGAAAGTTTTGCTTTAATGATCCAGAGGAAAATGGGCAACGAGGCTGAGCACCAAGAGCGGCGAACTATCTTGGCTGCAGCCGGCTGAAGTTCACTGCTCACCCACTGTAAAATGGGGCTATTAAACTCGTGAACTGCAGGCTGTGGAAGGTCAGTAGTTCAGCAGTTCGAGACCCAGGTGCTGCATAATAGAGTGAGCTCCCATCTCTAGTTCCAGCTGCTGCCAACCTAGCAGTTCAAAAGCAAGACATTGCAAGTAGATCAATACCGGTAGGTACCACTTCGGTGGGAAGGTAACAGTGTTCCGTGCACCTTGGTGTTTAGTCATGCCGGCCACATGACCACGGAAACGTCTTCGGACAGCGCTGGCTCTTCGGCTTTGAAAAGGAGATGAGCACCCGCAACCCTAGAGTCGGATTCGACTGGCTTTCGAGCAAGGGAACCTTTACCTTTTTTAAAGTACAGCAGGAAGTTTCAGCAGATACCCGGTTTATTTATTTCTGAAGCTTGGATTCAGCCCTTCAGCTAACGGTGTACAGAAAACAGAGCTTTTTAAAAAAATCATCTAACAGGGAAATGTGTGTGTGATGAGCTCAGTCCACACACACAAAAATTATGCTCAAACCACATTAGTTCTGTGAGGCGTTGCACGGAGATGATGTCTGTAGCTACTTGGCCTTACAGAAATCATGCCTCGTGAGGAATGCTTCTCCAGTATTGCTGCAGGATATTTAAGAACATCAGAGAAGCCAATGTTGAATCAGGCCAATGGCTCATCTAGTCCAACACTCTGTCACACAGTGGCCAGAAATACCAGGTGCAATCAGGAGGTCCAGCAGTGGGGCCAGGACACTAGAAGCCCTCCCACTCTTGCCCCCCCACAAGCACCGAGAATACCAAGCATCCCTTGCCCCAGACTGAGAGTTCCTGTAAGAACATAAGAGAAGTCAGTGTTGGATCAGGCCAGTGGCCCATCCAGTCCAACACTCTGTGTCACACAGTGGCCAAAAATACCAGGTGCCCTCAGGAGGTCCAGCACTGGGGCCAGGACACTAGGAGCCCTCCCACTGTTGCCCCCCCCCAGGCACCAAGAATACAGAGCATCTCTTGCCCCAGACATAAGAACATAAGAGAAGCCAATGTTGGATCAGGCCAGTGGCCCATCCAGTCCAGCACTCTGTGTCACACAGTGGCCAGAAATACCAGGTGCCCTCAGGAGGTCCAGCACTGGGGCCAGGACACTAGAAGCCCTCCCACTCTTGCCCCCCCCACAAGCACCAAGAAGACAGAGCATCCCTTGCCCCAGACTGAGAGTTCCTAACAATACCTTGTGGCTATAGCCACTGATGAATCTCTGCTCCATATGCTTATCTAATTCCCTCTTGAAGCCATCCATGCTTGTAGCTGCCACCACCTCCGGTGGCAGTGAATTCCATGTGTTCATCGAAGGACTTCCTTTTATCTGTTCTAACCCGACCGCTCAGCAATTTCATGGAGTGCCCATGAGTTCAGTTATTTGTTTCAGTTAAGTTAAAAAGGTAAAGGTAAAGGTTCCCTTGCTCGAAAGCCAGTCGAGTCCGACTCTAGGGTTGCGGTGCTCATCTCCGTTTCAAAGCCGAAGAGCCAGCGCTGTCCGAAGACGTTTCCGTGGTCATGTGGCCGGCATGACTAAACACCGAGGCGCACGGAACGCTGTTCCCTTCCCCCCGAAGTGATACCTATTTATCTACTTGCAATTTCTTGCTTTCGAACGGCTAGGTTGGCAGGAGCTGGGGCCAGAGACGGGAGCTCACTCCGTCATGCGGCACACTCGGGTCTCGAACTGCTGAACTACCGACCTTCCACAGCCTGCAGTTCAGCATCTTAACTACTTGAGCCACCGCAGCTCCTTTCAGTTTAAGTTACTTGGGAGTAAAATGTCCTGACTGGGATGGCCCAGGCTAGCCAGATCTCATCAGGAAGCTGAGCAGGGTTGGCCCTGGTGAGTACTTGGAGGGGAGACCCCCAAGGAGGACCGGGGTTGATACGCAGAGAGATGCAATGGCAAACCACCTCTTATTTGTCTCTTGCCTTGAAAACCTCACCATAAGTTAGCTGTGACTTCATGGCACTGTCCACCACCAGCAAAATACACCTGCAGAGTGAATGATGTGTGAATCAGGCATGAGCACACAGCGGCAAGTGGCTACCAGATTGTGTCACACCGCAAGACCATCAAAAGTACACCCTCTGTTTCAGGGCTATTTGGGGGGCGGAACGCACAGGAACGGAGTTCCGGCTGGCTCCTGAGTTGGCCACGCCCAGCAGGGACTCATTAGCATAATAGGCCACACCCAACAGCAGAAACGCATTAGGATTGGCTACATTAGGGGTGTGTGGCCTAACATGCAAAGGAGTTCCTGCTACAAAAAAGAGCCCTGGTTTTGACAACAAACAAGGTAAATGGAATAAGAAGCAAAAGATTGGTGTGGCTGGATGACCACACTTCTGGTAACATGTGGGTGCGGCCTAATATGCTAATGAGTGGTGCTGTCAGGGGTGTGGCCTAATGTGCTAATGAGTTTCTGCTATTGGGTGTGGCCTATTATGCTAATGAGTTCCTGCTGGGCTTTTTCTACAAAAAAAGCCCTGCTCTGTTTTTTTTAAAAAAAGGTCAATTGTTTTTCTCTGCAGACTCTTGGCTTCTGATCCCTCCCAGCTGAGGGAAGAGGATCTCCCCAGTGACCTGCAGTCCCTGTCGTGGCTGACGTCCGTTGACGTCCCACGGCTGCAACAGATGGCCAGCGAAAGAATGGATTTCGGCATGAGCTCCCAAAGTGCAGTACTGCAACAGACGGGTAGGTAACTCACCGCCGGCATCCTCAGAGAGGGTTTCGCTTTTTTAGATACCGCGGCTGCTTTCCCCATGGTTTCCATAAAATGATTGTTTGCCAATTTAGGTCAGCTTTGCTCACTCAGGCTCGGTACTGCTACATCCAGAAGATACCCAGACAAGTAGTTAATTACAGTTTGGATGTTTTGCTTCTATAGAGTTTGTTGAGCCACTTGAAACACAGAGACATAGAGCTGGAAGGGACCCCAAGGGTCACCTAGTCCAACCCCCTGCACAATACAGGACATTCAGTTACCTCCCACCCCAATCCC